TGTCCTTAACCTGCTGTCAATGAAAATTTTCATTTTGAGTGTGTGTGTGTATGTGTGTGTGTGTGTGTGTGTGTGTGTGTGTGTGTGTAATCAAATTGTATTTCACTTGATTTCCTTTATCATTCCTTTTTCACTTATTTCCTTTATAATCCTTTGTATTTTATGCATTAAAAACATTCCGAGAAGGGGTCCATAAGCTTCACCTAGCTTCCAAAGAGTTTATGACCCAACACAGGTTAAGAACTACTGATCTAAGGTTTTTCTGGTCTGTCAGTTCCTTCATCATATTAGGCACATTTGACTTAATTAGATTAGGCAGCTTCTCTTTCTCTTTGCTGCACCTGCCAAAACTGGCTTCACAACAGTTTGTCTAGGGAACAAGAATCCACATATTCTCTCTCTCCGAGAGAGTCCCATTTATCAACATCAGGTTTAAGTATGATGACTACTAATTCTGATGTTCTTTCTGTATGCTATCCAGCAGGGATGGTTCCCCACCCAAGTCATTACTTCCTACTTGTTCAAAACACTCAGTTTCTCAAGAATTGTCACATGACCAAATTGCAACTCAATGAGATTTTTCCTCTTACCTTTGTCTATTACTAATCCCACCTGGGATAGAAGTTTGGGAAAAGGAGGAACAGAAATCATTAATATTGTGTTTTCAGTTGATTTGTTCATTTCTCTGCTGATGGATTTTAGTAATTAAGCATTAGGAAACATCAATCAACTAGCAATAATAACAATCAACTCATTCTCTATTTAAAAATAATTAAAACAAAAAAACCATCTACCAGCCACTACTAGATACGTTATTCTTTTGATACCGTGAAGTAGAATATCATTATATATATATTCCTACACATTTTGTTTTCCAACCCTAAATTATCTAAGTTGAAAGCTATTTAGGCTTAGTTAAAGGGAAAAGCATTGATCAATATCTGAAACTGTTCCTATGAATGAGTGAAAAAGTATTTGTTAAGCATTTGCTATGTACTACACACTGTGTGATATGATGGAAATATCAATTAAAAAAGCAAGACAGTTCTTGCCTTCTAGAGACTTACCTTCTAATAGGCAAGGACAATGATATCCTCAGACTGTGTTCCTTTATGCAGTATATTTAAAAGTCAGCAGCTGTATATGTCAGGATCTTTTCAGAGAACACGAAGGTATTATCTCTATCATTCATCTGTCCCTACAGTCTTTCCCTACCTAATGACTCTTGCCTTCCTGCCAATAAACGTGATTAAATCTCCCCTCTGTAACTTGTACTTGACCTTCCTCCATCTCCTAAGCCTTTTCTCTCTTTCCTTAAGAATAACTGCACTTACTTGCTGCTTCTGTTCCCTTGCCCACTCACTTCTCCATAGTCTAGCCTCTGATCTCACCATTTGGCTGAAGCTCCTCTCTCTAGGACTATTATGTCTTTTTAAAAAAATTGTCATTGATAACTTTTTTGGTTATATCACATGAATTTTTAAATTGGTCTATCCTGTCCAGGGAGCCATCCTTTGTAACTAAGATTTTAACAAGAAGGAAATCCAATAGTTTTTCATGTTTGTTTTCATGTTACCTCCACCATTAGACTGAGGGTTCTTTAAGAGCAGAGACTGTCTTTTGCCTTTCTTTGTAACCCCAGTGCTTAGCACAGTGCCTGGCACGTAGTAGGCACTTAATAAAAGCTTATTGACTGACTGAATAACATTGACCGCTTCTGACAACACATGAGATGCTTCTTCACATCTGTAGCAATGAGAAGGAGGTGCATTTTTTCTGCTCTCTTCCCAGCCAAGACCGATCCTTATAGCTACACAGTGTTTAGTTTCCTTGTATTGCTATTTTCACTTATATTGTCATCATCATCATGTGTATTGTTTTCCTTATTCTGCTTATGTCATTTGACATTTGTCCCTATATCTGTCTGTCTGACTTCTTTATATCCATACTTTAACAGCACGGTAAGATTATCCTTTCTTTTTTTTTTTTTTTTTTAACCTTCTTGGAGAACATGTCTACCTTTAGGACCTCTGGACCAAAAGATCTATTGTAACAATTCATATCTCTGCCCACGAGGCAATAGTGTACCTATTTCTCCATAGCCATATCAATATTGAATTTGTCACTTATAACTATCTTTGTCAGCTCAATGGTCAAAAAGCAATACATGACAGCTCTAAATTACATTTTTCTAATTATTAGAGATTTTAAATCATTTTTTATGGCTCTTAAACGCTTTCAGTTTTTTTCTTTTCATTGTTGTCTGTTTATATACTTTGCCCACTCATCTGTAAAATGGGAATAATAGTAGCACCTGCCTCCCAAGGTTGTTATGAGGATAAAATGAGATAATAATTGTAAAGTGCTTAGTATAGTGCCTGGCACATAGTAAGCGCTATATAAATGTTAGCTATTATGATTATCATCTAGTAGGAAGTAGATCTTATTTCTAAATTTGCCAGTCAGTGTAATTCAGACTCCTCATAGATACTTTTTCCTTTGGAATTTATTTAATATATATTTTCTGTAGATAAAACAATATAGAGAAGAGTTTCCAAGTTCTCCCCTTGATAACAATTTATTCATTGATTCATGTAAAAGAAGGATAGGAAAGAGAATGATGGTGCTTTTCTTAAAATGAGGGCAAAGGAAGGCCAGTCAACAAGTATTCATTCAACATTTACCATGTGCCAAGTTCTCTACTGAGAATACAAATACAAGCCAAAAAAAAGATAGTCCCTGCCCTCAAAGACTTTAAATCTCCTGGGAGAAGATAATTCAATGGAAGCTGGAGAGGCAGGGGAAGGAGACAAAAAAGGGAGAAGGTACTTGATGCAGGAGTCATGCCTGAGGAAGTCCCGTGGAGATGGAACAGCATTACAGCCTGTACAGAAATGAAGACATCTTTGTCTTGAGCCTCCTTAAATTAGAGGTTCTGGGAAGAGTCAGCCAATCAGAAGGTGAAGACCTTAAGGGCAGAGGACACTTCTAGTGTGATAAGTAATTTGGGGCTGGAGCAACTCCTAAAGCAAGGAGGTATCTATGGCATGGTAGGCAAATTCCTGTGGAGAAGAGTTATTAGCATTGCATTTGTTCTGCAACTCTTTTAACCCGTTTGCAGAAAAATAGTCTAAAATAATGCTTTGTGTTCTGAGATAAGTCAGAACTGTTTAGTCTTCTTATCAGCTTCTATCCAGACCTTTGAGTAATGAGTTCTCCAACAACAGGAAATAAAATGCACATATCTAACGCTGTGTTCAGGATTTGGTACTTTTTCAAGCATATTTTGATTTCATCACTGTGGTTACTCCAGTACAATACTCCTACATGCCTCATTAGATAGTTTTACTGGGTCACTGTGACCAAAAAAATTAATCCTGTAAAGGTCAATTTTCTGGTGATTAGCCTCTCTAAACTTAGTTATGAGAAAGCAGGAGACATTTAGTTCTTCACAGGGCCTCTCCCATAAGCCTTTCTGACTTAAGGTACTGCTACATCACAGTGAAGCCTTGGGACTTTAGTGGAATGCATGTTTAGGATATATTTTTAAGAAATCAACCCAAGATAACATTCTTGTTTACTTTATAGAGTTATACCGTTTCCTAATTTTTTATCATGCTAAATGTAAATATTTTTTCTTTTATGTAGTTCCTTTTCATGTTCCTAACTCAGTTTCTGGAAACTATTGAAAAACATTAGGAAAACTGAGTGGTTTATAAAAGTACAGGGGAGGAAAAAAAAGGACAACTTGGTACCAAAGAGGGTCCATATTGTAAATGACAAAAACTGCCAAGAAGAGTTCAATAAAATTTTAACAGTTTCTTTTCTTCAGGTTGAAGAATCAGGTTCATTGTCTTCCATATTAATTAGCAGCTCTGGTTAGGAACAAGCAGATATAAAAAGCACAATTGTGAGAAATGAATACAAAATGCGATTTTTCTCCTGGTTAATTAACTTTAGTTAAAAGAAGTTTGAAAAGTACATGTCAAAATTGATGCTTTCATTTTCAGATTTAGAAATGTACTTGATCAGTTCTGCAGATTTTAGTAGCAGGAAGTTTAATAATAAAGTTTTTCCCAAGTCAGATTCATATAGGCATCTAATTTGTTTAGTTAAGTTGAATACTTACTTATAGCAATATATGAAATTGACTTTTGAAAAATCAGGCATCCAGGAGAGATTCTCCCCCTCCCCCACACACAATGTTACATATTAAGTATAAGTGGTATTATTTTATTTTTTTCCCAAATGACTTCATAATTCAGATTTTTAGTTATGTATGTATTTTGCCTTAGTATTTAAGTTTTCTTAAATATCAATGGTTGGTAGTGATTTATATGCTCAAGGGCAAAGCTTTGGCATAATATTGTAACTCTTTACTTGAGAGTATCTTTACAAATATAGTAGGAAATGATCACGTAATATTAGGTTTTGGAGGAAGATTGGATGATGTAGCTATTGTGTTTCACAAGAGCATCAGCTAATGCTCATTACAGCTTTTAACATCTCAAGGGTATGAATGGATGAGACAAGAATCAGAGGCAGAGTATATCACCATTTCCTGCAATCCATTAAACACCTCACACAGCTTACCAGAGCTTAGCAAAGAATAGATTTGTCATTCAGTTGTATTTTTTTGTAGTTTTTGTTTCTGATACCAGGCATTTTGTGGGTAAATTTATTCCGAAACTTAAAAATTAATTGTTTTAAGGGAGAGGAGCTTGTTTTTTTTTTTCTTGAAAAAAGGCCAAAGTAGAGGATGTACTGACAAGATTCTGAAGAGTCCTAGAACTTTTCATAAAAACTTGGTTCTGCCGTGCTACAGAAACACTTGTTGTATAGCTGTCTATTGATTAAAAGATTGAAGTGCTTCCCTGTAGAACGATAGAACGTAGCAAGTATTTCTCAGTCACCAATAATTTACTAGTATTTTGAAAGATAGTGAGGATTCTTATTCTAAGTAATTTATTTCATTTGTTAAATATCTTTTTTTCTTGCAGCTGATTCAACTGGTACCCATTCTCTTTATACAACATACAAAGACTATGAAATCATGTTCCACGTATCTACTCTGCTGCCATATACACCTAACAACAAGCAACAGGTAGGAGACCGATGCTGTTTACATCTCCCACATTCCATGTCCCCAAAAGCCTAAGTGGCAGAATTGCCAAATATCAAACTAGAGTTTAATGTTGCACCTGTCACAGCAGCAGGAAGCATTCTACTTTGTGGAAGTAAGGAATGGCAAATGAGCTGAAAACAAAAGAAGAGACAAATTCTAGGTTAACAGCCAGGCAGTTAGCTTTGTGAATTAATTATTTGCCTTTCACCCACGGGGATTGAGGTTTCCATGAAATCGGAAGAGAACAAGTTGAAATAATGGTGATTAGATGCCTCTGCGGGGTTTCAGAGAACATGTATGTGTGGGTGATGTTTCATCTCAAGAAGCCTAAGTACAAAAATCAAGACGGTCTAATGTTGCATTACCCATTGCAGAGCAGGTTTGAAGAGAAATAAAAATAAATAGATAATGGAAGAAACTCCGTGTTCTTTGTTACAAGTATTCATTTGTAGACAACAGTGAACTTTCACCCAGAATCTAGTTGCAGGGGGAGGCATATGGTTGTGTGTAAGCAATTTAAAATATATGGTGTCCAAGTTGGAATACAGAGACGTCATGGTTGAGATTCATGTCCTTTCAACAGATGTTGTAAATACCAGCTATGGTCCTGTTTTACAAATAGCTGAAATTACCGTTTTTGTTAACCGAGACTATCACCCCACCTCCCACTCCCATTTAGCAGAAGGCAGTCAAGCTACTGGATAGACTTTTATGTCAGCAGTATATAGTCAAGTACTGAGATAATCTATGCTTCTAAATTGTAGATTTGATTAAATCTTTGGAACACATGCTTATGATGTAATTTTTAAAATCAACCCAAGATAACCAATTCTTGTTTATTTTATAGGATGACAGCTTTCTAATTTTTTTTTAATTGTGCTATTTGTAAATATGTTTCTTTTATAAAGCTCCTTTTCATGGCCCTAGCTCAGCTCCTGGAAACTATTGAAGAGCATTAGGAAAGCTGAGTGGTTTATAAAGAACAACTTGGTACCAAAGGGGGCTTATAATAAGTAATAATCGAGTATTTATGATCACAAACATATTCAGAAATAGACAAACCTGTTTACTTCTTTGGTCAGAATGGTTTTGTGTGTTCATTTATATTCAACCCTATTTCTGAATTCCACTGAGTGAAAAATAAGGAGAGGAAGGGGGAAATGATGTGCAAAACTATGAGGCAGCTTTCCTGAATTATCCAGGGTATGGACTTTCTGGTGTGGTTTGTTTGGGTGTTGAGAAGGATCTTGTTTGAAATCAAAGAGCATCAATAAAGGACAGCCAAATTTGACTAAAAACTAAAAATTCTTTGCATGAAAAGCTCATAGTTTTAAAATATTTAGTCTGAATACTGTTACACAGAGCCTTACTCTTAAGCAAGGAGTTTTAAGAAGTAGAAAATTTGTTTAGATAAGAAGTGGACAAATAATGTTTTATGATTTGCATAGTACTTCTATCACAGCAACTCTATGAGATGGGTACTGCAAATATTATTTCCATTTTGCAGATTAGAAAATTGAGGCTTAGATCTCTGTTATGACATGACGAGAGTCACAGAGCACCCAAGTCTTAGGCTTTTCCCTCTGAGTTCTGTGTTCCTTCTGATCCATGCTGCCTCTTTATGGTTACATTTCCTTTTTTTTAAAATCTTATTTTATTGATATCTTTTATACTTCACATTTTCTTCCTGAAAGTATCTTTTCTGTTCCCCTACCCAATATGCCCGTCTTTGTAATGCAGATATCAAAAGATAAAAAAAAGTAATTGAGCAAAAACAAAACAAAACAAAAAAAAGCCAACCATTTTTGATATATACCACACTCCACATCCATAAATCTCTACCCCTCTAATGAAGAGGAGGTGAATTTTCTTATGTCTTCACCAGGACCGGACATGAGTGCTATGATTACATGACATTTAGTTTCTCTCTTTTTATTTGTCCTCACCACCACCCCAAACCCCCAGTTACATTGTTGTACTGTTTGGTAGTTTTTTACATTTTTTTTTAATTTAGTTTTTTAAAAATCCTAGTTTTACTTATTTCACCGCTTTTAATGTGAATGTCTTCTCATTTCCATTGCTTTATTTCTAACCAAAAGAACAAAGTGTTTGTAAGAGCCAGTTGACACTTTGAAAACAAAAAATAAATTTTAACTTTTGCTCAAAATAAAGATAAAAAATATATATATCCATAAATCAGTATGTGGAGAAGGGGAAAGCAAATTAGCATTCTAGGTATTCAAAAGTAAAAATGTGGCCTAATATAGTAACAATGGGTTTTTGCCTACAAGGAAAGAATTCTTTATCAGGTATTTATACTGACTTTCCTAATTATTTTATGAAGTAAAAAGAACATATTTTTGGGGGGAGGGGTGTTAGTTACTGTAGGAATTTAGCCTTCAAAAATGTCTTTGAAAGAGTTTAATACTGTATTTAATTTTAAGTACTATCAGATGGATAATTTTCTGTCTTTTATTAAGAAAGAGGATGACATGTTCAGTTTTATATTTTCTAATGTTACTATTTTATATCCTAAGTACATGCTTGGTTAACGGTTTAGTCAGGCACAAGATAAAAATATTTTTTGTACCACTTACTTCTTAAATTTCTATTTTGGCTATGCCAAAATTAACAGATTTTTCTTCACTGTTGGAAAAAAAAGAGTGTGTTATTGTTGATTTTTGCTTACATTGGAAGAAAGAATATGTCTAAGAGTATGTTATAAATATGTTAATATTATGTTTAATTGACCTAAATTTCTAACTAGATTAGTACTTTAATTAAAGGTAAGACTTATGCTACAAATCATGTCAGGTAGCATTGGTTTGTTTGAACTTCCATTGAAATCTCTTCTCTGCTTTTAAAGGACACTGACTTTTTAAGAGTTGAGGTTTTTGGGTCTTTTGAGTATCCTAAATTTGAAATATATTTTCCTGGAATCCTGACTCATTCCCAGCTTCAGAGTCCATCCTACAGAGCTCATGTTTCTCTCAACAGACTCCAACTACCGTTCACTGATAGTTCTGATGTATTCTTTGAATGCCATGATTTAAGCAAAGAAAATTGCTTTATGGTACAGATTGAAATAATAAGGCAAGATAATATGAATTTGCTCTCCTGAGTTTTTGTTTCTTTTTAAAGTAATACTATATTAGGGTTTTCCTTTTTTGTTTTTTAATTAAAGGTTACCAGCATTACTATAGCCATGCTATTCTAGGAGAATGTTAGAAAGAACACTTAATAAGAAGGACAGTTTTTGAAACGTGGCCACCAGTTTTTTGTTTTTGTTTTTAAAATTTGAATACTGTCACTCAAAAAAAGACTTTTTATTGTGAAGCAGCAAATGACCTTTTGAAGCAGTTTTCATCATAATTATAGGAACTATTTAAGCTTGAAATTTAACCTCCTTCAAAATTGTTATATCATTCCAGAATGTTATTAATTTCTACATCATTAGCTTGTACTGTTAAAACTGTATTTCAAATTGCCCTAGCAAATTTTTTTTGATAATTCTAACTAAACCAGCATGTAAATTGTATTGTAATTACTTTAGCAGTTTTCATCATTACAAATCTTCCTTGTACCAGTCTCTTCCTTATGTGAGAGTTAAAGTTGTTGTTATGAAAAACTGGTATTTAGATGTGCTGGCATATTGTCTAATATGTCCAGGATTGGCTTAAAATTCTTATGCACTCTCTGAAAATGTCAGAGTTTCCTTTTCTCATTTCCTTTAATTTAGGAAAGTATAAGGCAAAATAAAGTTTTGACAGTAGCTATTGGATTTCTTTAATGTTAGTAATCTGTAATTAATTTTTAAAATAAAAAAGAAAATGGAAAAATGGATAGCCTCAGTGAAAATATTTTCCTGTTTTCTTTTTTTAGCTCCTACGGAAGAGGCACATTGGAAATGATATTGTAACGATCGTTTTCCAAGAACCTGGAGCCCAGCCCTTCAGCCCAAAGAACATTCGTTCTCACTTCCAGCATGTTTTTGTCATTGTCCGAGTTCACAATCCCTGCACTGACAGTGTCTGTTACAGGTAGCTATTACTACTGCGTCAGTGAGGGGTTGGGTGGAAATTGGCTAATGGTTGTACACATTACTACCTGAAATGGAATATTCTGTCTGTTACTGTTCATTAGCTAGTGCTTGTGAATGACAAAGCTCATTCTCAGATATAATCTAGTGGCATCACTGTTCTCTGTATTTGTTGGTTTGAATGCCTGCACTCTTCCATTTGGACCTTCTTTTTGGGTGCTGTACTTCATTTACACCATCGGTTTAACAGATAGCTAATTGTTCATATTGCAAATTTTATTTTGCCTTTAAAAAGTAGGAGGAAAGGGATAATACATAGAAAAGAGGTATTTTTTAAAAAAAATTTTTTTTAATAGGCCCACAGCTTTCATGTAGACCTTTAATTCAGTCTGTACATTTCTGTAAGTTATATTAGAGATACTATATTCCTGTACAATATTAAAAGTTGGCAACACAGTCATAATTTTGTAAATTAAATAATACTTGATCAGTTCATGAGTGCCATATTCTATGCATATATCTGTGGTGATTTTATACAAACGATGCACCACAAATTGTTGCCCTTTTGACACATGCAAGAAATAGTCAATGAATGATAATTACTCTTAAAACATGGAGGTAAGGTATTCTGTCCTTGTGGGGTAGTTACAGTGAATATTGAAGGCGATAGAGATGGCATTAGGACAAATGAGGAGGCATTGAACAAAGAACCAAGTTTGAGGTTATGATGAGAAGACTCCCACATTTTGGAAATATTTTTTATCTTGTCCTACTCTTTTCAGTTGTGAAACTTTTAGCTTGTCATCTCCCTAAGCTTGACAATTTGGCCCTTGGTTACTTTTTTTTATTAATAGCTGTCCCCAAAATAGCTAACTATTCAAAAAGGTGGACAAAACAAAGCTGCATCTGTCAATAATTAATTTTTGAGTCAGATCTGATTTCAAATCTGTGTTGCAAGGACTTTTCAAAAACTATACACTGAAATAAAAATTACAAACTAAAGCTCTCTCTTCAACTTCTTATGAGTTTATTTCTCTTGTAATATATGTTGTTTTCCTCAGTAGAATGTAAGCTTCTTGAGGCCAGGGGCTGGTTTGTTTTTGTCTCTTTATCCTAAGCACCTTTCACGATGCCTTGCACCTAGATAAATGCTTATTAAATGTTTGTTGAAAAAACACATAAAAGTATAATCTCTTGAGGCTTTGAGTTAATGTATTATTATAGATAGAAAAATGTCAGTCAAGCATTAGAATACTCCAGAATGAAAATATAAGATGTTTATAACCCACCGGATCCTAGATATAAAGCAGGGTAAAGTATAATCCAGGTAACAGTGAGAGAAAAACCAATTACAATTTGCTTTTAATTCTTCTTCCTCTTACTATTTCCGTTGCCTTCTATTACAAACAATCACTCTAGGAGTTTAAAGGATGGAGAAGTCACTATGACCTTGCCCAATTAGGAAGTAATTTGTGATAGAAAGAAGACTTGAGCTGAATTTTGAAGTCTTTGCACTGATAGAGAGGAAGGGGAAGAGCATTCCTTTCAGTACATGAATTTAGATCAGAGGAAGCAAGTGTGGCTAGAAATTCAGGTGTAGAAAATGAAGTCAGTATAAGGTTACAGAAGTCATGCTTATCAATTTTTCAGATGACCCACCATTGACAAGAATAGCTAATAACATTAGCTGACATCCTAGGGAATAACATAGGGATAAAAGTCCTACATGCAGGTTCAAAAAATGAACTGCATGATTACAAAGTGGGATATAAGGAGGTGAAGTATGTTTATTTAAAAAAAAAGAGAGATCTTTAGGTTTTTAGTGATCTGGCAGCTGGGTATGGTTAAGCTATAGAATATTACAGCCAAAAGTATCAGGGCAGTATCAGGTTGCATTTGTGGAACTAATGCACAAAAAAATGTAAATGATCATCTTCCCATAGTCTGCATAAATCAAGTCACATCTGGAGTGATGTATTTATTTCAAAGAGCCACATTTTAGAAAGGGTGTGGACAAGTAGGAATGTGTGCCTAGAAGAGGCTTCAGAATAGTGGGGGAACTGAAGACTGTGCCGTATGAAGGTCGTTTTGAGAAGCTGGGGTTGTTCGTTCTAAAGGAAAGAAGACATATCAGGGGTGGAGGTGTGACAGGGATAATAAATGTCTTCAAATATTTGAAGGCTGTCCTGTGGGAAGGAATGAGATAGATTTGCTTGTATCTGGAGGGTAGAGCTAGAAACAGTGTATGGAAGTCACAGAGATACAAATTATGGGCTTTGTCTGAAGAAAATCTTTCAGGCAGAACTTTTCCAAAAATAGAATAGGTTAAGGAAATAGGTTCCCCATTGTTGTACATATTCAAGAAAATTAGAGATGACTACTTGTTGGGAAATTTGTAAAGGAGAAAGACTAGGTGGTTTTTGAGGTCTCTTTGAACTATAAGTCTATGATCCTTAATACTTTTCTATCTTCTCTCATGCTCCTTTCCCTCAATAATGATGCATGGAGGAAGTTGAAATACTATGCCACTGGGTCTCTCAGCTTTTCTCTCCTTTCTATCTGTTATTTAAAATATTTCCCCCATTGACTATCCCAGTTCCTGAAATTCATAAATTGCCTATTAGTTTACATAGAAACATTGAAGACTATGGTTAAAGTGTTTTCTGGAAGGGTAGCACAGAACAAATTATTAGCCCTCAATAACTTCCTTCTTGTTAATTTATTAGGCTAGCTCAATTATTTGACAGTCTTAACGGAATGGATCAAATGACAGACATGTTAGGGGAGGTGAGTGAGGAAGAGCATAAAATCAAGGGGTATTATCTGGGGAAGACTTTTCCTTATGCTTAAAGATATTGGGCCTTGGATGGACAGTGGATGGACTCCTAAGGCAAGGCAAGGGGTAGAAGGATGCCCAAATGACTTAGGGCTTCTTCATCATTTTTCCATGCTTGCATGATCATTCCTTCCTTGGTGTTAAAAGGAACTCACTGGAAAGATCTGCACTTGGACTTTTATTTTAGATATAATATTTGCTTTGAAAATCAAAATAGATCTTCCAAGCTCTAGCACACTACCTCCTGTTAATTTAGTACGTATTGTGTGCTTACTTTTATGTATACATACACACATATATGTTTCCATTCTTAAGCCTAATTAAGCAATCTTAATAAATGTTTGCTTAGTGATTGATGGAAAATAAGATATTGCCATAACCCTGTGACAGCCTTGGAACACTTTTTTAGTTAACTATAGAATAAAAGGAGTAAATATAGAATTTGGAAATGTTTAATTCAGTCTCAATTTATCCAGATAGTCATTTGAATTTAGCAACTACCTAGAACATTTGGATCATTTTCCATGAGCAGGATTAATTCAGCTAGTTTTGTATATTTTGTACTGTGGAGAGTTTTTGTACCATGAGGAGAAAACTTAAATTATTCCAATTGTCATTGAGAAGTCTTTTTTTTTTTTTTAAGGTCATGGCAAATTAGAGTGTAAGGTGAAATTTAAAGTAATCCAAAAGAACTAATAAGACTGAAACATTAATTATTGATTTTGATCACAGAAGAAAATCTTGAGAAAGACAGGTAGTCAAATATCCCTCTTGAGGATTAGCTGTATAGTTCACTTACACTAACTTTGTTTGGTTATCTTCACTTTATCCCTAGCTGTTTCAACTGTCTCTGCCATGATTTCTTCCCTCAATGAGAGCTGTGAGTGCAGAGCTTAGAAGCAGGACTGGTAGTTTGGGGAATATTGAGTATTAATATTATTTTATATATTAATAATAATCATGTCTTCTCTGAGCTATATAGGAAAACCATTGAACCGGAATCAGGAAAATTGGGTTCTGGTTCTGGATCTACTATTAACATAGCAATGTGTGTGCATGGGGATGGCATTTAATCTATGTGAATCTCACAGTTATACATGAGTAAAACAGTCTGACAGAGATTATGTGACTGGCTCAAAATCACACAGCCAAGAAGAATTGAGGCAGGATCTGAAACAAAGGTTTTTTTGACCCCCAAGTCTAACACAGTAAACATGATGCCCATAATTTAGACTTTTCATGATGACTGAGGGTCATTATGACAGAAAACATCAAGTACTGTAATAAAAATAACTCACATTTATGTAGTGCTTTGAGATTTAAAGAACAAAATGCATTCCTCAAAATAAGCCTATGATATAGGTAGTGTACACACAGTTCATTTATATCGTTCTACTCCCGAGGCCCTAGTCCCCTAACCCCTCCTCTCCCAATTGCCCTTTATTCTGTTACCTTAATGACGGAATAGAAACTCTTCTCCTTGGCATGAAAGCCCTTCACAACTTAGCTTCAACCTACCTTAAGCTTCTTATAACACAGTCTAGAAAGTCCTATATATTCAAGAAAGCCGTGCTGTTCCTCACATTTGATATTCCATCTCCATGCCTTTGCACAGGCTATTTCTCATGTCTAGAATACCCTCATCATGTCATAAATCTAGAGCTGGAAGAATATCACAGGGCATATAATCCAACCTACTCATTTTTCAAGATGAGGAAAATGAGGTAAGCACAGGAATAGGCATGACCTTAGCATTTACTAAATAATAAGGAGGTCATCTTTTATTAGCTAGGAGAAGTGAGTTAGAAGTCTTTAAATGCTAGACTGAGTTCAGGTTTTCTATGAGTAAGGAATCATTTTTGTTTCTTGAGCATGGAACTGACATGATGAAAACCTGGTTTTAAGGGAAATTAATCTGGTAGGAGAAGGAGACTAGAAGCAGAAAAACCAATTAGGAAATCTGGATTGATGAGAACTTTGACTTGTGTAATCATATACTTAAATTTTCTATGAAAAATTAATACAGGGAAAACTCGTTAATTCATACTGATTATAGAGGTCAGTTTGAATTATGTGAATTATAAAATACTATAACAACTCACCTATCTGAAAGTCACTTAACCAGCAACCTCAACTGTCTGGAACAGCTGAGAACCATCAAGTAA